GGGGGGGGGGGGGGGGGGGGGGGGGGGGGGGGGGGGGGGGGGGGGGGGGGGGGGGGGGGGGGGGGGGGGGGGGGGGGGGGGGGGGGGGGGGGGGGGGGGGGGGGGGGGGGGGGGGGGGGGGGGGGGGGGGGGGGGGGGGGGGGGGGAACACGCGCCTCCGTAGCGCGTGTTATTCCAGTCCATTACATGAAGCATTCATGATTTAGTCGTTGTTACTAAATTAATCATGACTTTTTGTACTACTAATCCTGCCTATTATTACCTTAACCAACGACAATTTATCAATTTCCACTAACGCCGTTTCCCCCAAACGTTGTACTACTGCTGGCGGGTTATTCCATTTATGTACACTCAAATTACATTAAGAGCCCAAAGAATATCCAACTCTTACACGTGTAATCTCCCCTCGTGGGTTAGAACTCCGCTAAACATATGCTGTTATTGTGCAAATGGAAGGAGGTTGACGGAGATGACGACGGCGACGGCGACGGCGACGGTGGAAATGAAGGCGGCGATCTCTGTCTATGAAAGTATTCCTCTATACCCACACCACCGGGGGATTTATTCTCCCTCCATCCCGTTTCTTCACGAGCCGGTAAAAATGGCGGTCGCATGACCTCCGTTAATATGTCCCACTTAACGCCGTTAAAAAACGCATGCTCTTTGATTTCACACGCTCCTCGGGTGTACCCCAACCGCTTGGTGGGGTCCTTCACCAGCAACCGTTCGATCAAATCCGTTAAATCTGAACGCTTTCCGATTAGCTCTGGGGCTTTGACTAGAACGTTCCTAAACGTTTCTTTACGGTTAGTCCCCTTAAACGGCGTCTTCCCATAGAGCATCTCGTACGTGAGAATTCCCAAGGCCCACCAGTCAACGGCGAATTCATGTCCCTCACCTCGAACGATTTCCGGCGAAACGTACTCCTCTGTTCCAACGAACGAGTTCGACCGCTCGCCATTATTAATTATTAAACCCGATTTCCAGCGGCTCACAGGGCTAACCCGAGCCGATTTAGCCTTTCTCAAACACTTTTTGACTTTAGAGGTCCCCACAATCCATTGCGTAAAGTTCCGCCGGGCGACCACCGGCAGCTTCTCGTGGCCGGAATCATCAAGCGAAACGACGTCTTTAACTGTCCTACGAGTCAACTGACGCGACAAATCAAAATCGGTGAGAGTGACATGACCCGATTGTTGAATTAATACATTCTCCGGCTTCAAATCTCGGTATACGATGTCGATGCTATGAAGATGCTCTAGCGCACAGACGATCTCAGCCAAATAGAACCGAATGACAGCTGGCGAGAAGACACGGTCCATTTGGCGGTAACGCAAGACGTTAAGGTCACCACCGGGACAGTACGGAACAGCCCAGCCCAAAAACTCGTCGGACTCGAAGGATCCGATGAGGTCAGGGAGAAAGGGGTGTGGTTTAGGGAGTGATAAGCGGGAAAGAACCTGAATCTCCCAACGAGCGCGGCGCTCGGCTTGGTGCTTAGAGACAAAAGACGATTTGTGGACGACCTTGAGAGCAAAGGGGAAATTAGCCGCGTGATCAAGAAGGTGGTCGTGGACGAGAAAGACAGTCCCCATGGCTCCTTGTCCGAGTAGCTTGAGGGGAGTTAGATTAGGAAGATGAAGCTCCGGCGGGGATGGGTGAGGCGGATCCATGTCTAAGCTTGGTGGGAAAGAAGAAGAAGATTAAGGATCAAGGAAAGGGCGTTGGTATACAGGAATTTATAGGAGAGGTCTAGACTCTAGATTCTAGAGTCTGTTGGTGTAGGCCGTATTTTGCGCTTCTTTTACGCCGGTTGCTGCTTTGGGGGTTCTCACAGTTACCACTTTCACCTCTGTAACTCGCTTCTCTTTGCAGCTGAAGCAATGGTATGTAACACCATTAACGAATGTCGTTGCCAATTCTGTGACAGCAAAAATATTTCAAACATAATTTATTTGAGATACAGATCGTAGGGAAACTATAAAACAACGCCCACTTGGTTAAATAACTATAAACAATATAGTTTCATCTCCAATCATAATGCACCGTACATGTACCCTCACATATATATATATATATTATAAACCTTAATTACACCAAATTACTTCTAACTCTATACTTATTACATTAATATCTCTATTATTTATTTATTACATAGATGTGTCCGAGTGTAATGAGCTGGTTAAAGGGAAGATTTTTTATTTTTATTTTTATTTTTATGAGAATCAAAGAAATGCTGGGGAACACGTGTAGCCCATAAAACCAGGAAAAAAACAAAAGAGGAAAAGAGGACGGTATATGTGTAAAATAAAAAAATAATAAAAAAAAGGAAAAGAAATCTGCACCGTACGATTCTCACATGGCGACACCCAGCATGATCCAAGGGAGATGCGAGCGTGCATGAAGGATTTATATTTTTTATTTTTTATTCATGGGATTAATCTGCTTGCTTAGGATTTATTTATGAGATCCATTCATTTTGGGGCTCAATGATTAATTAATCCTGCCGTGTGAGTTCCACTAATCACAACTCTAAATATTCCCATTAATTAGTTAATCAAATTCTATCCAATCTTCATCAATTACAAAAATAACAAATATTGAATTCTCCATTTTTCTCAAATACAATATTGTAATAATTATATTGCATTTTTTTTTATCATGCTTCATTTTTGTATTATTCGTAAGAGTATTTTATGGATTTAATATTTATATTATACAATATATGACATACAGACCATTTATTTATAATATAAAATCTATGATTGATGCACAAATCTGGGCAACAATTATGCATTTGACTTCCACTTATTTCAACAATAAATACTTCCAAAAATAAGGATGTCCCATGTTAGTTGGGAGGAGAACAAATCACCCTTTCCCTCTATAAAGGTGTGGAAACATTCCCCTAACAAATACGTTTTAAAATCTAAAGATGATCATATCTACAGCGGTGGATCTGGGTCTGGGTCGTTACAGTTATTCCTTAATTTTATTTTATTTTATTTATCAATCATTTTAGATTCTTCATTAAAATTGATCCAATAGCACGTGCGCCACATTATTACACACAAGCGTGTGTATAAAATAAAAAGCATTCATATATCCTTTACTTTTCCTCCTTATATATAAATATATACACATATATATAAATAAATAATGTTATGATTTCTTTATTTTATTTTATTTTTTAATAAAAATAACCGCTATAAGCCATATATTCCAATTATAATTCCAATTTTCTTTTGATGGATTCAAATAATGTATCATGATTATTATATTTATATACTTTATATAAATTGATTAGAATTTTAATAATTTAATAACTTATTGCATTAGATTCGACAATTAATATTTATGGAGTATGGTATTTATGAAAAATTTAAACTATTATAATCTTAATTATATTATAGTATTAACTCAAATGGGTAATATTAATCACTGTAAACTTGTTGTTGAAGAAATAATAGATTTTAGGGGACAGAAAAACCCCACTTATTAATGTTTAGGGGAAAAAATGTTTAATTTATGTGAGCTAAATTAAGTTGGTAAAGTTTCATAAATTATATTCTTGTCGGGGCATCATTTCACCTGATTAAATAGAGACATAGCAACCAAAAGTGTGAGCTTTCTTTCCTCATTTTATTTATTTATTGTTTTTAAAAACAAATAAAATTAAAAAAAGGGAGGGGTAATTATATTGCCTCCACTCAACCAAATGTCAAAGTTTGAAACAAATGTACTTTAAAGGTAAAAGTTAAATACACTTTGTCGGCCATGATTTCTCCATTAAAAAAATATAATCTTTTTAAAAAATATTTAAGACATTTACTTTAGCCTATAAAAAATATTATGTGTCACAATGATGTGGCCTTCACAGTGTCCGACCAAAATGACCAAAATGACCTAAACCCTTTTTGGTTTGAAAAATTTGTAATTATTATGGATCTTTAGGACTTGAAGAATGATTCACGTATATTATTTATGAAATTATTAATGCATTATTTACATTTTTAATCACCCAATTAAATTAAAACTAAGAAAAAAAGTTATTATTTAGAGTGGCGGGAAAGCAATTTATTATGTTTTTTTTGACAATCTTATCTCTAATTAATAATAATAATAATAATATTATTATCTGTAATATAAAATTTTATTTTTGGATTTTGTAGTTTAGAAAAAGAAAAAAAAAACTAAATTTCTAATTACAATAATAGGACAAATTTATAGTTTAATAATAATGAGAGAAAAAAGAATAATAATGTTGAGGTAATAAAAAAGAAACGTATCTTTAATCAAAAAGACAAATGATAACGAAAATGAAGTTTGAGTATGATATTTACATGTTTATTTATTTTTATTTTTTTTATATTTGTGAGAATTAATTTGGTGCCTTAATCTTTGTAATAAATAAATAAATAATCCATTTCACATTCAAAACCCCCCATTGTTGGAACCCAGAACCGAATCCCCCGACCACCGCCCATACCCACCACCGTCAGAATTAGGCATATCGTAATCCACCTTAACCAACGCGTATTCATCCCCCGACGTACACCCCATCCCTAACGCACTTCCAAGGTACCCTCCACTACTGTCTCCCCCGCCGCCGCCGTAAAACGGAGTGTTGTTACCATAGTGGGAATAAGTAGAGTGGTGAAACCACGCCGGATCTTTGTTTTGAAGAGAAAGCAAAGGCTGGGTGAAATTGGGTGATTGAAGAAGCCTATGATGGGAGGAATTAGAGGAGGAGGAGGAAGCACCAAGAGCAATCATCATTTCCTCACGCTTTCGAGAGGCTTCCATGGCCTGGGCTTCTTTCAGTCGCTTGGCCGCACCACCGCCAATAGGGACAGAATTGCTGTCCAATATGCTCTTCACGTCATAACGACACATGTCAAAGTTTGTGACTGCGTTAAGCCCTCTGAATTTGATGGCGGCTATGTCATATGCTTCCGCCGCTTGCTCTTGCTCTTGCTCTTGCTCTTGCTCTTCCGTGCCTATCAAACAATACAATGCTAATCTTAAACTAATAATATACAAAGGCTATGAAGTTAAGAGCTTACTGAAAGTTCCCAAATAAAGATCTTTGTTTCCAGCCACTCGTCCAATCCTGGCCTGCCATCTTCCATGCTGGTGGTGCCTAATTTAATTAACCCCACAACACATCACATTCTTATAATAATTATTATGAACAATAAAAAATTCAAAAAAAAAAAAAAAGGGAAATTTTGAACCTTGTAACACCACGATACATTGATGCACCCCATGAAAACCCACTACTCTTCCTGAAATCAGCAATATTTATATTTATTATTTAGAATGAGATTCAGAAAAACACAATTGATTGATTAACGATAGAAGAACCTTGTAATGGCAGCCACAAATTCTTGTCTTGTCATGTGCTTCATTTCCTCCACTTCCTTCTCATAGTTACTAATCTGCAAATTCAAATTCAAATTCAAAACAGAGACAAACAATGATGAATCCAAGATTGATATGCAAGAGGGATTTGTGAATGTATAAACATACATACCATGGGGGGCTTGAAATGGGATTTCGGGCAAGGAGAATGAAGGATTAGTGGGTGAAAGTGGAAAGGAAAGGCAACTGTTTGAATTGACGGACCCCATTTTCTTCAGGAACAGAGGTAAAACAGGGAGGAAGAAGAGGGTAAAAGGAAAGATAAATGAATATCTCAAAAGATTTAGCGGGACTCCCCATGCTTCAATCTGTTGACCGCCCAATTGGTTTTCGCACCCGTCGAAGCCCCCAACAACAATCAAATTGGTGGATTAACCACCGTCATTTTCTGGTCAACACGACGGTTCATGTTCTGCTCCCAGATTCGGAGGGATTATGGTATAAAGAGTTCATTGAATTTGAGAGGGATAGGGAAGGTAAATAAGGATGGAAGAAGAGGGTATGGTATTTATTTATGGAGAATGATGCACACGAGAACCCATACAAAAAGTAAGGTGGGAGGGGGAGTTTTTCGAAGACCAAATGGAACTGCTAAAAATCTCCATTTAAATGTTCTGATAAAAATAAAACAGAACAGGATGAATTCAGTGCGACAGAATTGGGATGATGAGTAGAAAATTGTTAATTCCCAGGAGACATGCCTCTTCAAAGGGCATGTGCATGCCACTCTCTCGTTTTCTATGCAATCCCAGAAAAAACTAAAACACTTCAAATGGTAATTTAACCATTGCCTATAGACTCCCTCTGTAACTAAAACATTACATTATGCAGTGTTTAGAGTAAATAATTTTGATTTTGTCCCCTTGGGAATTGGGAGTTCAGATCTCATGCTTAGATTATTAGGATTTCAATCCAAAACCACTTTAAGACTCTGCTATTCGATAAGGGGTCCACTAACCTGATATTCCCTTTACATCAGAAAACCTCTAACCCCTTTTCCTTCGTTAACTATTCAATGCCACTTAGCTTTCAACAATCAAAACAAAAACAGAACCCTTCTATGCTCTGCAAAGATGCTTTTCACCAAACATTATCTGACACCCAGAATCAAGCTCAATTTTAAATGCAACTTAAACACAGGCTATGCTTGAGCAGAGATCAAGTGCTCAGCTTTATGCTTCTTGTTCATAATCTTACAACCATCTGGAACCTGCTAATGGACACGACATGACATAACAGTCCAAATTTCAAGGAAAGCAAAGCCAATATAACAAATTCATCCATTAAAAAAATAATATCGTCTATTGATAGTCTAGCATTTATAAATGGATATAGTTTCAACCCCAAAAGAATAATGTTAAATCAGAAACCAACGAGTTTATACCAATTTGGTGCATGGTAGATTTGCAATACAGGTTGAAATGGCCATCGAGTCTTGTCATTCACATCAGAAAATTGGTATGATCCAACCAAAACACAGTGCTGAAGTCTGTCATTCTGAATTTCGAGTAGGCTGCAAGATTTTGTTCAAGCTAACTCCTTGACAAGATGATACAAATTAAGATCAGAACAACAGCTTAGAAGACCAAACATAAGGGCATCGAAAAATTGTACACAGGAAGGGTACTCATAGTCAAGCGGAACGGCTACAATACGCAAAGAGAAAGCATTACCAAACCGGTAACGATGATGTCCATTGAAAAAAGCACAAACAACGAATCACAAGCAAATAGATTTTTCAGAATTCAGATATATTGGAACTGCAATCTCTTCAGCATATATATGAACATAAAGCAACGATACATAGATTTGAAGCAAATCAGAAACCACCTCACAGCTGGATAACATCAATTTAGGACATGAACTCGTCCTAAGAAATCTAGATCTTATCGAGCTTCTGAGCCTTGACAACAGGGTTGGCTTTGGATATGGCATTTTGTGCAGCCATGTGGTAATCGAAGGGGCAGTCATGTTTGTCAGAGTAGCGATGAACTACACAAAATACATTACCGCATCGACAATTGAAGCCTGTTAACCCAACACGCTTCTTGCAACTGTTGCAACGTTTTGGTCCCTCCTTGGGTTTTTCTTCCTCGCCCTCCACAGATCCCATTGCAGGCAGTGCATGTGATTGACTAGTCTTTGGTTCCAGAGAAATGGCACCATTGGCAACACTTTCAGGCATTTCCTTGTTGCTACTAGATGATCCATTGACAAGATTTTCAATAGATGAAGCAGCAAGCTTAGCATGATCTTGTTTCAGCATCATGTCCTTGTGACACTTGGAGCACATGTTCTTAGTGGCTGCACTGCCGAAGAAGCCACAATTGTTGATGCACAGGAAAGGACCTTCTGGAGGAGCTTGGCATCCAGCCTCATCATGGGAATCCATCATTTAGAGTATACTGCATTAAAATCACTTCAAAAACACTAAAAAAGAAAAGAAGATGCAATTTAAAGCAAAAATTACCAAAACCCAATCAGTGGGGGCATAATGATTATGGTTTGGTTCAAACCCATGTAGGCCAATCACTTGGAATTTAAAAAATCTCATGTAGTTCCTACACTGTAAACATTATAAAGGATACTAAACCTTGAACCAAAATCAGGGTATGGAAGGGATCTATGCATTAATATTATTATTCTTATTATTGTAATTGTTTTTTTTTTTTTTTGGGGGGGGGGGGGGGGGGGGGGGGGGGGGGGGGGGGGGGG